ATAGTTTAGGTACAATTATAATGAACGAATTAATTATAACAGTAATAAAACTGGTAGAAAATTTACTTTGTTCGAACATCGTGTAAAAGTAGTGATGGGTTGGATACTATTACGGTGAAAAAATTGCTTGTCAGAGTAATAAAACAGACAAAAAATTATTTTATTTAAATGTACTCTATACGTAGTGGTAGGTCAAATACAATTACAGTGAACAAAACAACCGTCACCAGAGAAACTGATATTTAAAATAACAGAAAGCAAGATTTTACCACCATACGAAAGACGTGAAACTTGAAAAAAATTACATCTCCGATTTCCAATTTTTCCTCCGTAAAAATAATCATCAGTATAGGTTACTATTAATCATTGAATCATTGGTTGCCAGAGATATATTTCCCGGTCCGCTGTAATTTTCTAGGTCGTAGGAGTAAGCGGTAGTTAAAAATGAAGAATAAACTAACATTCGCTTTAAGACCTCGCAGAATAAATAGTAGAAGCTCATAAAACTCACACGAAACACTGTTCATTTTACGAGTCCATTCCTGAGCCCATTGTCACGCATAAAACATCAGGGTTTGTTCAACCTGCCTAGACGGAAGTGACGTGGTGGCGAACGTGGGGCGACACGGCTCGTTGAACCGCGCGAGCCCGCGCGCGGAAATAACTCACGTACGAGAATCGTCACGTCTCGTGGTAACACGTTGGAACGGAAATGCAGATACGTACGAGGAGTATAAGTGGCGAATCGCCGATAATCGCACGTGAAACACGCGTTCTACTCGACTGTCCTTGGGGATAAGGTTCCCCTCGAAACAGTCTAGAGTGTACGAACTCGTGTTCTTCGTCTTCGTGTATGAAATATTGCGGCCGCAACAGTTTTTCGATAGTTCAGCTCGGGTACGTGTGAGGGCTCTTCAATGTCAATATTGGGGAACTAGAATAGACTGAGTTGGTTTAGAGTGGGAATGTACGAGCTTTTGTGTTAGAGTTTTTGGGTTTTCGAAGTTCTCGGATTTTCTGATTGCTGAGTTGGCAAATTGGATAACTTTGATTACTGTACTTTTAAATTTTTAGATACGTAAATTTTTCTATTTCAGATTTTTTAGTTTTTAAGTTTGGGAAGGGCTGAATGTCCAAGTTCGTTAAATTTCCAATTTCCCATATTCCCTATTTCTACGGTTTTAATCCCCAAATTTCACTCACTCCATTTTCAAACTTTCCAAATTCGAAATTTCCCAAATTCCAAATTCCCCAAATTCGAAATTTCCCAAATTCCAAATCTCCCAAATCCCAAATCTCCCAAATTCCAAATCTCCCAAATTCCAAATCTCTCAAATTCCAAATCCCTCAATTTCCAAATCTCCCAAGTTCCGAATCCCTCAATTTCCAAATTTCTCAAGTTCCAAATCCCTCAAATTCCAAATCTCCCAAGTTCCAAATCTCCCACATTCCAAATTTCTCAAGTTCCAAATCTTCCAAATTCCAAATCCCTCAATTTTCAAATCTCTCAAGTTCCAAATCTCCCAAGTCCCAAATCTCCCAAATCCCAAATCTCCCAAATCCCAAATCTCCCAAATCCCAAATCTCCCAAATCCCAAATCTCCCAAATCCCAAATCTCCCAAATCCCAAATCTCCCAAATCCCAAATCTCCCAAATCCCAAATCTCCCAAATCCCAAATCTCCCAAATCCCAAATCTCCCAAATCCCAAATCTCTCCAAATCTCCCAAATCCCAAATCTCCCAAATCCCAAATCTCCCAAATCCCAAATCTCCCAAATCCCAAATCTCCCAAATCCCAAATCTCCCAAATCCCAAATCTCCCAAATCCCAAATCTCCCAAATCCCAAATCTCCCAAATCCCAAATCTCTCCCAAACATCCTCAAATTAGCACCACTGATTATAATCACTTCCTCGCGGAATCTAAAAGTAACCTTTAGAAATGACATCATGTATAGACGTCATGAGCGAATTATAGTTCACGTTAGTATTACCGAACGACTATAACCAGTGAACGCGAAGGGACAAATAAAAAAAATCTGAAAAAATCTATTCCGGTCGTGATGTCGGTTTATTCTCGACGGATATCCCATTTCTGCAATGCCGGGTATTTTTATCCGTGGCCCACATACGACCACGTTGATTATTTCTCCTCGCGTAATGGGGGATGGCCCCTCGGTTTGACTTCGTGACGTTCATCGACAACAAGGTAGGAAAAGAGAGCTTTCTGCCGTTCGTTTTATGCACCATGAAGGACGCGAGTCTACTTTGCATGTCATTTCGCCCGTTTCCTTTTCACGAATGACTCTGGTAATTTTGTTTAAAATGCTCCGGTACTTTGCTACGCTTCGCGTCGTTTACCATTCAAATTTATCGCTGGAATAATATCCACACCGTAGGGGAAAAGTACCTTGAAATTGCAAAGAATAATCACAGCCATTAGTCTTTTTCATTTTGCCTTACTCAAATTTTATTATTTCAATTGATTTGTTAACCATTGTTAACCATAAACAGTTCCTTGTTTTTCAATTAAAATGTCTATTAATACGTCTATATATCTATAATGTATATCTAGTCGATAAAGTGTTAAATGTCAGTTTCACAGTGCTCATAGTCTTGCGAGACCTTTGTACTGCATGCAATAGTAAATAGTACACACTAGGTACATAGCAAATACTACATGCTGCATATATAGTACATTCTACATTCGTACCTAGTACTGTATGCTACATAGGGATTGGACGAAATAATATAATCATTGTCATGATCGATCCAGACCGTCTAACCTTAACAGGACAAGAATCTGTTTTGATATCAACCATAATAATCCCATTGTCTTCCAACTTGTCTATAAGGACTCAAACTTTCGCATCAATGCTATAATTAAAAATTATTCAAGACGTCTATGATTGGTTTCACTGTTCATCTGTACATTCACAAACATGTTCCAAACGAAGCATAATTAATTTGTAAATGTCCCTTGGTTCTTGTAGACAATGCTTTCTCGGTACGCATTTTTCCATATTTCTAAAGAAATAATCCCAGGTAATGGCGCGTTTTTACCATTCCACAAACGCAGCTATAATTTTCCTCGCAGACAATTAACATTCCCCCGTGCAGTTCATTAAGATTCCTCGGAAAGTGGAAGCACGTTGTACGATACCCATTGAAGTCGCAGAATCTCGAATTCGCGTTTATCCGCTCGCTCGCTATCTAGCGGGACGGCATCCATTACGTCCTGACTTTACCACGAAACGATGAAAAAGAAAAAGGGACAAAAATTTGCCATACGAGATGGTTAGGTCGTGATGCTGGCTCGTTTTCTCGGACGATGAGCGTAGCAAGAGTTCTGCCACCATGGTGTGCCACCGATGGAAACCGTGCGAAGCAACGCGAGGTGAAACCCGGTCCATTGTCATGTGCCGAGGATCACGTAAGGTCACACACTCTCCTGACTCGCTCGCAAAGCCCTGCCAGTGTGCCCTACGTGGAAACAACAAAGGCGTCAAGTTTCGTAACGAGCGACAGAACGTCGTCGGGGCTTATTGTTAGAAAACGAGAACTGGCTTTTGCCTTAGGGCCCGTCGCGAGAAACGCCGTTTCGGTTTAGTCATCCGTGCCCGTTTGTGTTCCCGATCGTTCGTCGAAACCTTGCATACGATCTTCTTTTAACGATCGGGTCGAGGGAACGGAAACAATGGCGGATTGAAGGTAATTCAGGCTGAAGGAGATGCTGGTGTTTTACACTGGTAACGGTAGAACTTGAGGTCACCGCGTTTTTCCTTTTTTCCTCTTGTAATTGTGGCCCTTCAGGTGCTTCTGACGTTATTGATGGCAATATTAATCAAACTACTTTAGATTCTAATGATGTACATAATTATGCATGTACCTGAAATATATCTTTGAGAGGCTAGATAACTTTGAGTGATTAGATAACTTTTATGTCGAAAAAATGAGAAGAAGATGAATATCGTTTGAAACTAATTTTATGTAACAGTATATAAAAAATTGCACACATTCACACACTTTCACACGGAAATTGCATTTTTCCGGTTATAAAATCGGTTACATGATACCCTGTACATCTTCATCGACGACACACTTTGTGGCAGAGAGGAATAAAGTTGCTTGGGAACTCCGTACGTTGCGGACATAAATTGCATAACCCCGAGATGCAAGATATAACTGGTTAATGGAGTAAATGAGAACAAGGCGATCCGAATCTTGTCAGACTTCCCATTGCGTGCAATTAAGCTGGGAAATTATTTGTTAATCTATTCGTCGAAGTTAATTAGAAAGATGTTGTGAAGTTGGAATGAATATTGCATCGAAACGGAAAGCGTATAAAATAGTCCGGAGTTCGTTATCCTTAAAAATGCATCGGTTTTCATAGAACTTTTTCTTCTCACGACTGCCGGAAGTGGCAACCATCTTTCTAAAGGTAACGCGTCGGCAGCGATCGCGGGACGCCATAGGTAAAAGCGGCCGGCACTTTCTACAATTAATTACGACACACGATAGCGTCCTCCGCACGGTGGTCCTTAATTTGTCGCTACATCAAACGCAAATTGATTATCAACCGGTGCCACCGGTGGCCGCTAAACATTCGCTACGAGTCGTTAATCTCGGCACGAAAACGTTTCTCCGTGGTCTCCGTTGTGTCATGAGTCACGTCTTCTCTGAATCACGTCATTAGCTCGTTGTAATCTTTCGAGAAGGCTCGCGCGGCGTGTAACGCGGTAAAAATGATCGCGTTTCGAGAAGCGTCCGGATTATCCGTGTAATCCGAAATTTATTGGTCTAGACGTAGGTCAACCTGACGCGTTTTTAATCGGTTTTAAATAAACCGTAGCCTTACGAAAAAAGAGGAGACTCGCTGCCGTACTCTTATGCAAACGAGTGGCAAAGATTAAGGTCGAGTCTCGTAACTTTCCTTTTAATTGAGGATACCTTGAAATTCGCTCGTTCGTCAACTGATTGGGCCGTCATTGTGCATTGCAGGGTGGCGGAGACGATTCGGACGAGGATAATCAGTGCGCCTTGAGCGAGAATTGGACGTTCGAGAAGAAAACCAGACGCTGGTCGCGCACGCCGCAAGCGAACGTCGAGAGGCTGCAGGCGATCGCCGGGCAGAACGTGCAATCCGAAGAGGACTCGGTGGAGGATCGTCTGGAAGCGGAGGAAGCCGAGGACACCATGTTGGACACTCTCAGATACAGCAGCTTGCCGCCTGGAACGCTTCCCGATGAGATCGGTACCAGATTTCGAAGAACCGGCTCCGAGAGGTTGAGGGACGGTGCCAAAGCTTTCCTCAGGCGAGTCGAGTCTCTCAAGTCCCGCCGGCGAAAGCACCAGAATCGTGACGGTATCGTCATCAGTGGTCCGCAAATTTTGGACGTGATGTCGATGCAGCAGAAGATGAAGGAGCTGAACTGCGTGGACGTGTCGCCTACGGGACCGGCGCCGGTGTCCTTCAACGATATCCTGTCTGGATCACCGCTTCACGTACCAGGATCACCCGTCACCATGCCGGCATCTCCTTACCACCTTCCACACTCGCCGCTGACGAACACGCCGAGTCCGTTCGGCGACGATTCCTCGAGTTACTGCTCGGACGGATCGCAAGGAGGTGGTCCAACGCCTACGCCGACGCGTACGAAGATGAATCGCGCGAGAAGGTTCTTGCATCGAGGTCGGGAGGATCAGGGTGCACTGAGCGACTCCGAATGTCAGCCTACCAGTTGGAGGCACAGGTACTTCCGAGACGCGAACTCCAACCATGCCAAGGTGCTGGAGTACGTGGCCGCCCATCCCCAGAGCCCCAAGGAGTCTCCGAGCAAAACCGCCTCCATAAACAGCCGGGGTGGAAGCCTGAACCTGGGCAAGGAGTCCCAGAGGTACCGGGACAAGTTGTCGCAGAGTCAGGAGAGGCACAAGGAGGACAAGGTGACCGCGTTGAAGAGGGAGGACAAGATGCACAAGAGTTTCAGGCATCGCGACGACTCGTACAGGGAAGGCAAACCCTTGTCCAAAGAGGTGACGGTCTACAGGGAGAAGTCCAGGTCCAGAAGTTCCGAACTGGCTGGAAGTCAGGAGAGCAGTTCCACGGTAGCTAGCCGTGATTCTGACCAGGAGGAGGATTCGCCCAGACACAAGGGTACCGTTGTCAGGTGGCACAGCTTCCAAAGAGGATCTCTGTACCCTGAACCGTTGGATCCTCTGTGTCCACGAGCTATGGCCTCGATGTCCTGCGGGCAACTGTTGGTGCTGAGGAAACTGGCGTTACTGAAGTTGACCGCTTGTATGGAACGTTACTGTCCCACTCACCGCACGGGATGGAACTGGGAGCTGCCGAAATTTATCAGGAAGATTAAGACTCCCGATTACAAGGACAAAACGGTGTTCGGTGTGCCGTTGCTGTTGTCCCTGCAGCGGACGGGACAGGCCTTACCAAAGTGTATTCAGATCGCTCTGAGGTGGCTGAGGGCTAATGCCCTGGACCAGGTTGGCATCTTCAGAAAGAGCGGGGTTAGATCGAGGATACAGAAGCTGAAAATGATGACGGAGACGTTGGGGGATAATATCAACTTCGATGGGCAACAAGCCTTCGATGTGGCTGATCTGGTGAAGCAGTACTTCAGGGAACTGCCGGAAGCTCTCTTGACGAATAAATTGTCCGAGACGTTCATAGCCATTTTCCAACGTAAGTATGGAAATATGAGTTTATGTTACTTCCATGTGGAAAGATTTACGGGTGAATCACTCTGAAAACTGGATTGGAGATAATTGTAGGTATTCATAACCGTTACAGATGTACCTGTAGAGCTACGACCGGACGCGGTGCAATGCGTGTTGCTGCTGCTGCCGGACGAGCATCGCGAGGCGTTGGAAACTCTGCTCGATTTCTTGAACCACGTAGCGAGACGATTCCTCGAGTTACTGCTCGGACGGATCGCAAGGAGGTGGTCCAACGCCTACGCCGACGCGTACGAAGATGAATCGCGCGAGAAGGTTCTTGCATCGAGGTCGGGAGGATCAGGGTGCACTGAGCGACTCCGAATGTCAGCCTACCAGTTGGAGGCACAGGTACTTCCGAGACGCGAACTCCAACCATGCCAAGGTGCTGGAGTACGTGGCCGCCCATCCCCAGAGCCCCAAGGAGTCTCCGAGCAAAACCGCCTCCATAAACAGCCGGGGTGGAAGCCTGAACCTGGGCAAGGAGTCCCAGAGGTACCGGGACAAGTTGTCGCAGAGTCAGGAGAGGCACAAGGAGGACAAGGTGACCGCGTTGAAGAGGGAGGACAAGATGCACAAGAGTTTCAGGCATCGCGACGACTCGTACAGGGAAGGCAAACCCTTGTCCAAAGAGGTGACGGTCTACAGGGAGAAGTCCAGGTCCAGAAGTTCCGAACTGGCTGGAAGTCAGGAGAGCAGTTCCACGGTAGCTAGCCGTGATTCTGACCAGGAGGAGGATTCGCCCAGACACAAGGGTACCGTTGTCAGGTGGCACAGCTTCCAAAGAGGATCTCTGTACCCTGAACCGTTGGATCCTCTGTGTCCACGAGCTATGGCCTCGATGTCCTGCGGGCAACTGTTGGTGCTGAGGAAACTGGCGTTACTGAAGTTGACCGCTTGTATGGAACGTTACTGTCCCACTCACCGCACGGGATGGAACTGGGAGCTGCCGAAATTTATCAGGAAGATTAAGACTCCCGATTACAAGGACAAAACGGTGTTCGGTGTGCCGTTGCTGTTGTCCCTGCAGCGGACGGGACAGGCCTTACCAAAGTGTATTCAGATCGCTCTGAGGTGGCTGAGGGCTAATGCCCTGGACCAGGTTGGCATCTTCAGAAAGAGCGGGGTTAGATCGAGGATACAGAAGCTGAAAATGATGACGGAGACGTTGGGGGATAATATCAACTTCGATGGGCAACAAGCCTTCGATGTGGCTGATCTGGTGAAGCAGTACTTCAGGGAACTGCCGGAAGCTCTCTTGACGAATAAATTGTCCGAGACGTTCATAGCCATTTTCCAACGTAAGTATGGAAATATGAGTTTATGTTACTTCCATGTGGAAAGATTTACGGGTGAATCACTCTGAAAACTGGATTGGAGATAATTGTAGGTATTCATAACCGTTACAGATGTACCTGTAGAGCTACGACCGGACGCGGTGCAATGCGTGTTGCTGCTGCTGCCGGACGAGCATCGCGAGGCGTTGGAAACTCTGCTCGATTTCTTGAACCACGTAGCGAGCAACGCTCCCTACAACCAAATGACAGCCTCGAACCTGGCCGTGTGCCTGGCACCGAGCCTGTTCCACTTCAACCACAGCAACACGAACGTGACCAACAGGTCGAGCAGCGTATCGCCACGTAGGAGAAAGACCGTGGGCATTCCCGATCAGAGGGAACTGTCGGAAAACAAAGCCGCTCACGACTGTCTTCTGTATCTGGTCAAGATGCATCGTGAATTATTCATGGTGAGTGGCTCGATGCCGAACGTCCAGGTCGTTCGAGAGGGAGCGTCATCCGTCGTCGTCGTCGGCGGCGAGCGGCGATTGTGATCGCGCTCCTATCCAAAATATACATGCATGTATTCGAACACGTTCTCACGAATCGGAAGGGAAACACGAGTAATCGTATTCGTTCTCCTTGCATCAGGTCTCCTCGGATATGTTGACGCAGTGTCATTTCAATTACATGGAGGAAAGCGTACCGGTCGCGCTGGAAGAGCTTGGTTCGGAGCTGAAGCAGGACTGGAGGGGATATCTTTACGCCTGTACCACTGCCTTGCTGAAGGAGGCCCGTGAAAAGTTAGTATCACCATGGAGATTAACAATTTAACAGAGTATAATTCAAGAGTAGAGTATAATTTAAGCAAGATGCACTATCTAAATTGTCCTCGTTCATTTTTACAGAAGTCGAGGATGGGTCAGCGTGAACAATCCAGCCGACAGTTCGGTGGAAATGGCGTACAAAAAAGTCGGAGACGGACATCCGCTCCGATTATGGCGAGTGTCGACGGAAGTCGAAGCTCCACCAAACGAGCTCCTCCATCGTGTGCTGAGAGAGAGACACATCTGGGACCCACAGCTTCTGAAATACAGATTGGTTGTTAAGTTAGACACCAACGTGGAGATCTTTCAGTACGCCACTGGGAATATGAGCCCCCTTCCCGCCAGGGATTATTGTGTGCTAAGGTGAGCTTCGGATTTATCACTGCGAAACTGCAAAATTGAATTGCATCGAGCAAATCAACGTAACAAATGACCGAACAAATTTGCAAGCAGTAAATTGTGTAATCTCGCGTTGAACAGATCCTGGCGTAACGATCTCTCTAAAGGAGCTTGCGTCATCGTTGAAACGTCCGTGGAACATCCGGATGCTCCTGTCATGCTTGGCGGAACACGTGGCATTGTTTTGGCGTCGCGATATCTTATCGAACCATGCGGCAGTGGTAAATCAAGGATCATGCATCTTTCCCGAGTGGATACAAAGTAAGTGCATCGTATGTTTGACATTTTAACGATCACTGGTTTTCTGTAATCTTGGATTCTTGCATCCTTGAGAAATTTATGAGAATGTTGGAGTTAAGTGTTTGTTATAATTGACGATTACTTTTCTTTTTGTTAAAGGGGACGCACTCCAGAATGGTACAATAAAAGTTACGGCCACCTAGCCGCCCTGCATCTGAGCAAAATTCGCAGCTCCTTCAAACACACAACAGATGGTCCCGAGAGTAAAGTCTGAGACGAGGCAACCGTGCAACGATCAC